CTTTGGACTTCCTTCTCTTCGAAATCAGAGCTCTGAGATCTGAACTCAACCCAGAAACCCAGAGCTCACATAGCTTCTCACAAAGCTTTCTCAACATCCTTGTCTTCCAAAAGGCAACAATGATGCAATAAACTGATTATTTTTAGTATTTATATGTGGGTATTTTAGTAATTTCGATTTTGTGCATTGCTGGTTTATCTTATTTTTGTCCCAAGATTGAAAAATTGTCCTATTTCTAAGTATTTTCCAAAAAAAAAAAAACAACTTGGCAATGTATAAAATCAATGGATTTATGCTAGAAGTTGAAAAATGTGTCAGACGGGAGTATTGAAAAGACCAAAAAAGTGAAGCTTGCAAATCTCCCAAGTCAATGTCAAAAAAAATAGAGTGGAGCCTTTTGCTAGTGTTCAAACAAAAGGTTTGAAATATTCCTCAATTCCTTATTCCCTAAATACCGTTCAACGGAGTCCACTCAAAATTGGTGAGATCCCTATCTTCTTCCATAAGGCAATTTGTCATACCAAGCCTCTCTCACTTAACAAAAAGTGGGCCCTGTTATATTCCAAAACCAATTTTTCGTTGGAAATAATAAACACACTTTTTATTTTGGTACGTACTAATGTTTAATTATATTTGTTGTTTTCGTTTAATTTATTTAATTTGATGATCATAATTAAAGAAAAATGAGAAATCATCTTTCTTTTTTTAACACACAAAGAATTTCAAATATGGAACTTGTTTATAAGTAAGCAGAAATATCAACATACCGTAATAATTTGGACATTCCAAAACCGAATTAAACTACCTCCAGCCTGGTGGCATTCCAAAACCAATCTAAATTTGACTGAAATGGAATCTTATGTGGAATCAACATAAGCATGTTTTTTTCTCTTGGTAGCAGGGTCCACCAATACAATGGACCAGCAGCAAGTATGGACTATATCTCTTTACCACAAAAATCAGAAAAGGCTGGTAATTGTCTTATACATATTATTTGATGAATGACGAAGACAAATTTGGCACAGTTGATTTGGCGTCGGTGGCTCATTTGTCCTTTACCATGGTTGGATGTCTCCACCACTTGGTCGTCGGTGAGCATCCAAGGCAAAGGCAAAGTCTAATGTTTTGAAGAATGAATTTGAGTTTTCACCGAATAGTATCATGTCCCGTATATACAAAGAGAAATACTAACGAGACTTTTAAAAATAAAACTCTACATAAACTCTGTATTACTTTATGTTTTTTGCACAATGTTTTATAATATTAGCACGAAAATTGACATTAAACTGTGAAATGAAAGATAAACTACGAAGAGTCTCACTTTTGAAAGAATTTTATTAGCATTTCTCATATAAATCCCTAACACAAAAACAAATTTTACTTCGGTAAAACTTCGTTTCAAATAAAATGTGAATTTATGATCCATGAGGTCGGAAGAGATCTCGAATTCTATTTCTCCCTTCTAATTGATTGAAGAAAAAAATAGTCAAACTTGCAAACTATCTTAATTCTAACATTTTCTCACTCCTCTCCGTTTTGGCTTGCTTACGTCGCTATAGTCAATTAATCGTAAGAGAGCAATTATTTATTTTTTCAACAAAAACTATATGATGATGTGATTTTTTTTTAATAGATTAGACGCTAGATTAGCCACTAACTGGATTTAAATCTATGCCGTCATTTAAGGGCTCAACATCGCTCCACCCCTGTGGTAAAGGGCCACATGCCAGAGCCTAAGAGTTAAACTCCGAATATATAGTGGAAAGCACATCTTAGCTACACTCCTACCTCTTCAATTATATGATTGTTAAGTTTTGCCAAAAATTGCTAAAACCAAACTGCTCGACTATTATTCTAACGTCAGGGTGAATTAAGTAGTAGTAATGGGGGTCCATAATTATAATACCATACAATATACAACGTTTTCAGTTTTTTTTTTTTTCGTGGCCTTGTGACGAGATGCTAATTTTAATTTGGCTCATATAGTGAAAAAAGAATGTTAATCATGACCTTGTGATCAAGTCCGAAGCAATAGCAACGTTCTTTCGTTAAATGTCCATTAAAGATTTAAGGGCAAACATATCCTTCATTCCATTAGTTTTCTTAGTCAACCATAACTTAACACGTGAGCATGTATGTTATTTTTTAATTAGATGTGTGTTTAAATAGTTATATTGTTAAAAAAATATTTTTTGTTTCTACAGCCTAAGAAAATAGTTTCTTTGAGTAACTTGTTTTGAACTATGTCAAGGTTTTACCGCTTTATACCATAAAATTTGATGTGGTAGTACGATACGTCAATTACCATGTTATGTGTGTTTTTTTTCTCACACAGTAATAATTAATCGACTTTGAATACAATAACAGTAACACTCTTGTTACATGAAATTTGTTCGTTTTACTTTGACTAATCATTAACTTGTGAGGATTACGAAGCTCTTCCCGATCAGTTTGGAAGTGAGTTAATTGCAATCTAAAGCTGTAATTAATTGATATAAGTACTATTTTTTTTCAAGGTGTTAAATGAAGTTTGGGCATGATTTGCGCTAGATTTCAGTCCAGCTGCCACAAGCCGATCTCTGGTCTGCGACGTCTGTCGTGGGAAATGCGCTCCCACCAGAATACCATCATTGGAAGAAAAAAAAAGTCAAACAAATATTGTTCAATATGTCAGCCTTTAAATGTGAGCAAGGAGTATTTTTCTGTATCATCATAACTATCGTGTGTTCATCGTACACCTAATCATTTATCATGTATCATTTTATTTTATTCTAGTTAAATTTCATATTAAATATTACATTTTATTTTTAAAATTTTTTAACCAAAGTTAAATAGAAAGACACGTAACAGATAATTAATGTATAATAAACCCATACCATAATTTATGATGATAGACAAAAACGTTATGAATAAAGGTATAAACATGGAGTAACACCCATACGCTAATTCACTATTTTTATAATCACTAAAAGCAATAATATTATTTTATGAAATAATGTTTGTTTACTAAAGTCTAAAAATCTCGTATAAGTGAGAGATTTTAGGTTTAAATCTCCTGGATGGCGAGTTTAATGCTAAATTAGGTTGTCCATTATGTGGCTTAGCCATACTTTCCTTCCTTTAGTGTAAAATTATATCGATGTACTAAAAAAAAAAAAAATCTCATGCTCATTCTTTAAATGAATGGAATTTTCATAAATTTGTGACGTGCAAAGCACTCACTAGGAATTGCAAATGTTCATTTCGTTAAAAGTGAACAGTATCGGAAGTGTTTCGTTAAAATTCTCTTATTATAATTTATAAATACACAAGATGTTGCAAGTATTAGAATTTTATATTAGTCTAATTATTACGGATTTATAATGTGGTAATTATTATTATTATTATTATTATTCTAAATTAACCCAAGAAATGCTATGGAAAACCCTTCTAGCAAAACAACAAAATGCTATGACAATCCACTATTTCTTGTACTAAGAATACAAAACCTCAAATCTTGTGAGTTCTCAATGCTAGTGGAAAATTCCATTTCGTTTCAAATGGCACACTAATGATTCTGATAGCAGTTGCTCACTCGCTCATGAGTGCCTATAAACATTTAATGCACTTGAGTTTCGCAAATATATAAATAGTTGCTAATCCAACCAATCATGCACGAGTGTTCAATTGTCACGTACAACTTATTAGATACTAGTCATTCCCAAGTGCTAAAATTGCAAAACAAACACCACCTTAAAGTTTTAGAATTTTTGTTGATAAAACGGTTGAGAATCTAAAGGCATGTTACAGTAAAAACACTTGAGAATCCAAATTTAATGTCAACTACTTTTGTTGGCTAACTAATTATGTGAGCATGCGTTGCATGGGAAAGATGAAGTAAATAAGGCATTGTTTGGTTGGAAGCACAGTAACGTTAAAAGCTGGCAAAGTGAAAGCAAAAGTGCTTAAAGAATTACTCACACGTTTTTGTGGCCTTTTTGTGGCTTTTGTGCATGAAAAGCAGGGAATTATTAAAATCGACGCGGATGGGAAGATCGCAAGCACATGGACATCATCAATGCCCTTCACTTCTCCAACGCGTAGGTACCTCACACTCCAGCCGTGAACACACAAACACAAAATTGACACTTCACCAGCTCCAAATCTCTCTATCAACTTTGCTTTTGGAGATTCTTTGATCTTAAATTGGACTGCTGTTAACTGTTGATGCAATATGAGCGTCCAGATAACTCTTAGTTGTTTACGTAATGTGGAGCCTCATCGAATCAATGGCATAAGTGGTACTCGTGCATGAACAATTGTTCTTGACCTACAACGACCTTACTTATTTATATGTGGCTAGTCTACTCATAGAAAAAAGAAAAAATTGGGTAGAACAACCTAATTTTGTGATTGATTTGGCCGCTCTTACAAAAACATATATATAAGAGCTATTGTGTTTTAATCTCATCCGATGTAAAAACTATCCTAATCAGTTAAATTTGTTCAACAGTCTCTCATATTTGCAAGTCCTTAGTCTTTGGCTTTGACCTTTGCTTTTACAAATTGAGAGTCTCAGATCTGTTTGCAAGGGATTGATTCAAGTGGGCAGCTAGGCAAAGCATGTGGAATGAGGTTTTTTTATTTTTTCCCTTCATAACTCTCTCTCAAAATCCCAAAAGGGCAATAGTTTCTTAGTTGACTTTATATTTTTGTCACTTTCATTTTGACCTAGTAAACTCACCTCACTCTAATCACTATTTAATACTTCTACCTACCAAAATTTCTACTAAAAAGGATTTTTTTTTTTAGACAAAATTACACTGTCACATGACGTTATAAATTGTTTTTTTTAATATTGAATATGATACTATAAAAAAAGTCATCATAAAAAGAGAAAGCATACAAAAGAATTGATTTTATTGCTAAATCGGTATTATAAACAAGTAACCAAAAAAAAAAGGGGATCTTAACAAACATTTCTATTCTTTTATCCTCTAAATTTATTTCATTGTTTTTCCCTAACAATCCCTATAGACAGAAGAATCTATTTCTAATAAACAAATTTGCTTCATAATAATAGACTTAAGCTCGTCGTGATTACTATTACCACGTTGGATAATTGTGTGCCCGCCGGACAGCCCCGCTGCTCCGCCGATTGAACTCGGGTCCGGCACCGACTCACTTGACGTGACCAGATTAATGCTCTTCCTTACGAATGGGTTGGCAACGAGTTGACTCAAAATTCCCGACTCGGTCACCATGCTCTTCCTCTTGTGCTGCATGGTGGCCCGAACTATTTCCGTCAACACGGTGTTCGACAGCCGCCGAATTCCGCGGGCCCCGCCCGTAATAACGACGGAATTAACCGCGCCGTGAGACTGAGTTGAGTCGGAGTTTTTCTTGGGGTGCTTACCCGGCGGCATTGCGAATAAAAGAACCGACTCGGGACTCCGGTGCCGGACTCGGCCGAGTGGGTCCCTGACCACGACGGAGTTTTTCGCGTCCACCAACATAATATGCTTGAAGTTTCTTCGAACGCGGCCGAGAAGCATCGGGTAACACGCCCACCGACGCAGGCTCATCGGCACTACGTGCTCCACGAATCCGGATAGTGAGTTTTCCGGGTCCAGCTCGCCCGCCTCGAACCCCACAACTGACCCATAACTAAACCGAGTCAACTCACCGTCGCCTTCCGAGTGTGCACCCTTTTTCCCCCAGAGGGGCTCTTCAATATCCTTTTTCCCGGCCTTGATGAACTGAGCCGCGTCGAATCCCAAACCGGGTTTTTCCCTCGACGCAGCCGTCCGGTGTACGCCCCCGTAACGGCGGAGCAGCACTAAGAACGAGGAGTTCTCTTCCTGGATTACGGACCCGAATCTCGAACCGGAGGAGGCGAAGACGAACGCCACGTCCGCTCTGGACGTGAGGCCGGACCGGTGCAACACCCTCAGAAACAACCGGAGCTCGGGCTCCGTGACGTCGTCGTGGACGTGGGCGACGACGAGATCGGGCATGGCTCTGGTGCCGCGGCGGTACAGAGTGCCCATCTTCTGGAGGGCAAATTGGGACTTAAACAACTTCTGCTGTTTTTGCTTCCACATATCGGACAACCATGAGGAGGAGAGAAGGGGGAAGTTTTGATGGGTGGGCGATTGGGGAATTTGAGTACTTTGGGAGAGGAACCTTCTGGAAGGTGATGGGACGACGGGGCGAGGCTTGGCTGCGGAGGGCTCGAAGGTTGAGAGGGTGAAGAGGAGGAGGGTGAGGAAGACGAGAAGGGCACAGATGGAAATTGTGGATTGGGCTTTGGAGAGAATAAGGTTGTTGGAGCTGGTTCTTCTGAAAACCGTGCATGTTTTGGAGGAGGAAGAGGAGGAGGAGGAGGACGGAGAGGAAGTGGAAGAAGAAGAGAAGAGCTTGGTGATTTTGTGGACAATGGCGGTGGTGGTGCCGCCGTTGTCCTCCGGGAATAACACCAGAAGCAAACCCATCCCCCAATTTTCACTGCTCCTGCTGCTATTGCTATTGCTCATGGCCTTTGCTATGAAGCCCATCCTGTCTCTCTACTGTCTCTCTAGTCTCTCTCCTCTCTCTGGCTTTGGCGCTTTACCCTTTGAGGATTATTTGCTGCGGTGTTCTTGGCCGCATGTGATCCCCACTTGTTAATAAGTTTTGATTTTTGCCTCTCTTGCTGTGCAAGAAATTGAAATTGAAATTGAAATTGAAATTAAAATTAAAAAGGGAAAGATGGATAGAAATATGGCATGGTGTTTCCATACTTGGTAAATACGCGTATTTACCAGTTTTGTTTGTTAATTTTTTAACTATAATTTAATTCAATTGTTGGTACAAATAAATTGCAAAAGAAACTCAATACTATAAGTGTGGTAACCATCACTTATTTTAACTGTTTACCGGGGATTTTAGTTTGGTTTGTTTTTTCAAATTTGATAAGTGTTTGTTTTGTAGTTTTAGTGGGGGGTTTTTTTTTTTTTTTTTTTTTTCATTTTTAGTTTTATTTGTCATTTTTTAATTTCACACTTGTGTTTTTTCCTTTTGAAAATAAAAACAGTTAATTTAAGCTTTCTTTTATTGTTGAGAAATTTATGAATTACAATTATTGAATTGAGCAAAATCAAAATGCTAACGGCGTATTGATCAAAAGATATAAAATTAAATATTACCGTGGTACGTTTCGGTTTTTTTATATCTTTTAGTTAATAATTTCGACACAAGTTTTCTTTCTTCTGCACATTCATAAATATTATTGTCTCATAATCTTTTTTGTAATTTATTCAATCCAAACCAGAAATAAATAGGCCTGCAAAGGAAAAAAAAAGGTGAGAAGAAATCACTTTCTCTAAATGATTTGAAGTGCTATTATGACCAGGCGCCTGTCTTATTTTCTCTCACCTTATATTGATTTATCATCTATCTTTTTAAGTTATAAGGTCAACAAAAAAAATATATAGGGTTATTTGCTCAAAAGCCCCGCTGAAACTCATACTTGCTCTCCCGTTACCTTCTGAAACTCATTTTTACTCACTTAACCCCCATAGCTATACAACCTCTCATTATGCACCTCTTTCATGGAGCAAAGTGAAAGCAAGTATGAATTTCGGGAAGCGTTGGAGTAAATAAGCCAAAAATATAACAGGTTTGTATTAGTTTGCTACTTTAGCGATGCGGTGTTTTGGTTTGTGCACGTCTCTACATTCTTTAAGCATGCTAAGTCATAATGCTAAAGGGAAAATCTATCAACGCGTTGGTCATTAATTGTTGTTTCACAAAATGATATGCTATATTATATTAAGGGTATAAGTTAGCAATACAGTTAGAAATACAGTTAGCAATACAATTAGTAAGTTGGTTAGTATTTGGTTAGAGTAGTTAGGTTTTCTCTTATAAAAACTATGTGTGTAACTTTCATTCTATCAGTTAATACAAATCATATTTCTCTCTCTAAACTCTTACTCTCTCTAATATCTTTGTGTTCATCCTTTTGTTCATCCTATCTTCTTACTTTTTCCTTCAATTCCCAAATATTGCAATGTAGTTAACATGGTATCAGAGCCACCAGGCTCACGCCATGGATTCTACTGGTTCTGTTTTTCATTAGATTTCATCGTTTTCTAGTTTTATTTTCTATTCAAATTTTCAATAGAAATTTTTTCAACTTCTTCAGTGCTTCGACGATCGTCCTATAATTTTTTGGTTGATTTTTTGTCTGGCCTATGAACAGAGATTGTCGGTCAAAATATAGGTCATCAAAACTGTTTCTTCAGGCCAAATAGAAGTGGCAATTTGTTTTTCTTTTTAGTTCTTGAGGTTTTGGTCCTTGAATTCGAGAATTTTTCAGATTTTCATCAAGTTCTTGATACAAGGAAGAAAGATGGGATGTCAAGCAATTTTTTATTTTTATTTTTTTGGATCCAGTGGAATCCCTTCATCTCAATCGATGACCCTGTGTTGAATTCCTCTTCCCTGTTCTTGGCACCATTTTCCTCCATTGGTCGGCTTATCTCGAATAAAGGGTTTTGGGAAGTTCTTAATCCAACCGCTGAACCTAGTCAAACACGACAAGATAAACGATTTGTGCAATGGGGGTAGGACTACGTGAGATCTCCCAAGCATTCCTATGAAGGTAAAACCGAATTCCTCTCTGAGTTGTCGATCATTGCTTGTTTGCGAATTTGATATGTGCTCTATTCTCTGGCGTGGAAGAAAGCTTAGACTTTTGTGTAGTCCAAGTGTTTGACGAAGTGACCAACTCAGAATTTTCATGTGAAGGTTAAGTTTTTCAGCCACTTCTTCTGAATTTCTTACGATGATTCTTTTAGTATTATGTAAATTAATTAGTTTGTTGTTGTGGGCATAAAGTCATTTGGTTGATATGTTGAGTATTAAGTGCTTGAAGCCATCTTTCTTGTGAGTCTTTTCTGGGCTCTTCCACAACACTTGGGTTCAAGATTGGTCATTGCTTCAAGATCGGTGTTTGTGATATTTGGATTCAAGAATATTGGTCATTGCTGGATTATGCAATTTGTATGGTGTCTAGTTCTTTCTCTCTCACTAATATGCTGCAGTTCTATTGGGTTTGATCTTTCTACAAATCTTGATATGTTTGGTGAAATGGGTATGGATTATTGGGTTTGATTGCTACTGATATCTTTAAGGTGTTCATTGGCGAACTACTCAGGAAGTTTTACAGTATCCAATTCTTGTCTTTCTCTTTCATTGATTTTCTGCAATTATATTGAGGAGTTTGTTTAGTAATTTTCCCTTATTATAGCTTATAATGTCGAGTCTAACTAGCTCAATTGTTAGCAAGAATCTACAGTAAGTCCAGTTATATGATGTGTTTGAAGAAGTTGTAAACGGTAAATCCCACAAAGGGTAATTCTGTGATGTGAGTAGGTAAATCCCACGAAGGGTAGAAGAAGTTGTTAACGGTAAATCTCATGAAAGGTAATTCTGTGATGTGAGTAGGTAAATCCCATGAAGAATAATCTGATATAGATGTTGATTTTATGTTGTTGAAATTGTGAAGGCCGATGCCATTGTTCAAAGAAGTTGTTTTTGGTAAAATCCACAAAGGGCAATCCCGTGGTGCTATAGATAAGGCTGACGCCACACTATAGTTTGTTAATTTTCTGTTTTTGTAAATATTAAAAGCTGAAGCCAAGTTGAAGATTGTTGACACTAAATCCCACGAAGGGTAAACTCGTAAGAAGTTGTCATACCAGCATGAGGGTGTGCTACGACTACCTTATAGAAGGTTGTCCTTTGAGAAACTCCTGTTAGAAGTAGAGAAATGGTGTCAATTACTGCTACTATTATTCTTCTTATAGGGTGACGAGTTCCACAAACATGGAAGAAGATGACATGTCTCCACAAAAGCTTACTGGAGGTCATGAGTGCAACCCCACAAATATAGATTCAGATGAACATTTTAGGACAAAGTCGGATAATGATTTAGAAAAGCATATCATTATAGAATCAAATCATTTTCCTCCAAATGTACCTGATTATACAGAGAATCTAAACACTGCAGATACTCCAGTAAACCAGGGAGCATAATTATGTGCTAGTGGAGATGTCTGGAAGGCAATTAATGTGCCACATTCTTACTATGATTCAAGGAATGATGCTCAAAAGTGCATAGAAATGATGAATGGGAGATGGTTTGGTAGTAGCAACTACATGCATGTGAGGATGATGGTTTAATGAACCATGCTTCTATCCAGAATTTAGATGAGGATGTTGCACAATAAGGGCAATTTGGCGCCGAACTTGAAGTTGAATGAGTTTTATATAAACGCCCAATAGTTATGTTAGTCATATGCAAATTTTGATTAATATTGACATTGATGAAGCTATTATGACATGGAATGAATATGAGGTGGATGAATTCAATCATCTAAAAGGATTGCAAGATTGCAGTTGGTTCAAGCCTGTTCTGTTTTTCTAGGTTTCATAGTAGTGATTACAGATGTTCTTCCAATCTCAAACTGGGTTTCCCCAGTTGAGATTGAGATGGAGTATTAAGGGTATAAGTCAGCAATACAATTGGAAATACAATTATCAATACAATTAGTAAGTTGGTTAGTATTTGGTTAGAGTAGTTAGGCTTTCTCTTATAAAAAATGTGTGTGTAACTTTCATTCTATTAGTTAATACAAATCATTTTTCTCTCTCTAAACTCTCTCTCTAATATCTCTGTGTTCATCCTTTCTTCTTAATTTTCCCTTCAATTCTCAAATATTGCAATGTAATTAACATATTATTCTAATTTAAAAAGAGTAAATTTGCCACTTAGTACTACGGTATAGCGGTATTTCTCTTCACTTGTAAGTAAGATGTCTTAGGTTCGATTCTCGCCATAGGCGAATATGAACCACTTAGCCCATTGTAAGACTAAATCCACCCTCTCTCCTTGGTGTAAATAATATCACGTGTTCAAACAAAAAAAAACAAAAAAAAAAACCAAAAAAAAAAGAGAGGAAGTTTGAACTCAAATGCAACTAGACAAACACATTATCTTGACCAACTAACTTAATAATCCGCCACTATCGTGTGGTAAAATTTATTTTGGGGAAAT